GCGAAAGAATTTGTTCTGGTAGGGTTGGGAGTTTCAGCAATTCTCTGCTGAAGGTCTTTAAGCTGCAGGGAGAGGTCTAATTGATTTTCAAGGTTACAAGCGCTTTGGTGGGCAAGTAGGGCTCTGGCTTTAAGAGATTGGTAAAGTACTGCCATCTGTGAAGTCCCGTTACTCACTCTTCTACAAAGGGCGTTGACTCGCAGCTTTTGTTCCGAGTTCATCTTGCCATCACCGACAATATTGCATATGTCAGTAAGGCTCTGGTCGATTGTCGTTAACCATTTCTGGATCTCGGGCGTTGCGACGGTTTCAGGAGCTTCGGTACCTGGGGTCGGTGGTTGTAAGGTCGATGCAGGTGTACCAGGCGGAGAACGTACAACCCTGTTACTCTGGGCAAAAGGGCTGTTTTCCATGATGCAAAGTGTTCACTTGTCAATTACAGAACATTGTCAATTTACACCTTTACACGATGACGCACGTTTTGTCCAGTATTAATGAGCAATTGTTAATCTAGGTCACGATACTGCAAGTGCAATTATTTTGTTTTAATTTTCTAATGAGTTAATCAATACGTCCGATTCATACGAAAGTACAATCAAGATAAAAAAGACTACTCAATTTTAAATTCTACTTAAATATCGTGGCATCTCTGTGATTTTACAAAAAAAATATAGTAACTGTTTAGACTGCCTCGTTGGCCGAGTGGTCGCAAATGCGACTGCCGGGCAAGAGGTCTCGGGTTTGATTCCTGGGTCGGGCAAAGTATTACTGGGTTTTAAAAAAAATCTCAGTAGTAGCACGGAGTCTGTATTTGTGCCCGGTATATGGCAATAGGCTTACCCCCATTACATGAGACTCATAGCATAAGTAGTGAAAAGTGGGTGTTACATTGTACAGTGGAATAATGTGCACCTCTGCCTACTTCTTCGGGAATAAAAGGCGTGATGTTATATTATTTAGAATTACAAAACAAAATACCATTTTCCCTCAGGAATTAGCGATAGAACGCGGCGTGAAAGATATTCAAGACACGTGGGCTAGCATAGCATTCACGGTGGCTCGACACTTCAACCGCGGCGAGGACCGAGGGTACACACTGAACCCGTGCGATGAGATCTCTGTCAAGTTGGATGATGATGCCATGACGCTGCAGAGCATGGCGGCTTCACAGTAAGTTGTTGGGAGCAGAAAATATTTAACCGACTTAAAAAAAAGAGATTCGCAATTTGACCTGTATGTATGTATGAATGTTTGTACGCGATTATCTCGTGAATGGCTGAACCGATTTTAGTACCTTTTTCAGAAAAGTAATTGTTACACTTAGGAAAAGCTTCTAGCATATTATTTAACTGACTTCAAAAGAAGAAAAGTTGAAGTCGATTTTATAATTTCTGATTATGAAATCGACATCCGCCTATAGCAGGCGTGGCCTAAATGCTTATTCCGTCTTGGAGTGAGAAAATCACTTAGGTTGGCAGTAAGACAGAATGCAGTAAAACAGAGTGACGATGAGAATTGGGAGATACAAAAATCTGTATGATAAAGTATCAATAACTAAACCTAACTTCGCATTTGATTTTCACGACAATCTATAGTGAATAATAATGAAAGGGAATCATTAATTAGAAAATATAAATTGAATAAATTATATGTTGGATTAGTTCAAAACATTGTAGCAAATCCTAAAACGAAAATTGCAATGGGGTTATGTGAACTGGTGAGGGTGACTATAACTTTTCTGCGATCTAGACCTTGTTAATGATTCCCTTTCATTTACACTAAGTCTATTTAATTATATAAGCTACAATGGGGTTGACGTATCCATATGGACAAAAGCCTCTCATTTTTATGTATAGTGCTGTCTCTACTAATTCTTTGTAAAATGACAGGGATGGCATGATATTTAAGCACAACTGAATATAGAGTAGCCTTTCAGTATTCAGGCGTTAGATTTACTTTGTCATCTTATTACGTGTTCTTCTAGATTCATTGGTCCATTCCTCTCCGTGGTACATACATGGGAGCGACGCTTGTCTCTGATATCAGAGGTTATTGAAGAATGGATGGCTACACAGCGCAAGTGGCTCTACCTAGAGGGGATCTTTGTCGGCGGTGATATACGCACACAACTGCCTGAGGAAGCGAAGAAGTTCGACGATATTGACCGGTCTTTTAGAAAGGTTAGAGATACTTTAACTTCTCTACACAGTCACGGTAATATTATTATACAATATTCCAACTTCGTACAAACGGACGAAACGCAAGCTATACCTACGCGCCTCGATCGTGGCATGCATTCGGCATGATAACAGTCGCGACTGTGCCGCAGTGACGAACGGGCTGTGTCGTTTTTTTAACATTAATCGAGCGATTTTTTCACTAAAAAAAAGTTCAAGTACATATTTATTAATATGGCGAGTAGGATATTTGTGCTGTTTTTGATTTTTTGCAAATATTTTCGATTTGATTTTCAAACAATAACATGTTTTAAAAAATTAAGTCTACCAATCAAAAAGCAAGACGCATTTTTATTGAACACTTCCTATTCCATATACGAAGTATTTTATTTGTTTTTGTAAAAAAAGAACAAAACTATATAGAAACAGATAGTAGGCAAATGTAACTAAAATACTGGAGACGGGCAGCCCTAAAGCACGTTTACGTTCCGCGCAGCTGTAGGTATTTAACTCTGTCATGCGGCCGAGTTACACTACTGTATGATAATATTACCGTGACACAGTACACACATGTATACTTACGTTTTCGTCGCATAGGATTAGGCAAAAATTGCATTACATTGTAGTCTTAACGATATATACTAAGTAAAATACTTACATCTTAAGCTTAATTTACTTTAAAGCTAAGTATAAATAAAGTACTTTGGTTTCAAAAAGAAGCGTGCTAATTGATTGTGCATTGAACATTTCAGATCATGTTGGATACGGCTAAGCGGCTGAATGTAGTCGACTGCTGTACTATAAGTGGTAGACTGGAGGAGTTCATTAACCTCGGCATTGGACTACAGAAGTAAGTTTTGTAACATGGTTTCTGAAAGGATTAATATTATATATTATAGGTGGATTTCCACCATCTTACTTTTCCTCGGCTAGCCCAATTTGTTTTTTGGGTCGGAACAGTACTTTTTTTTATACCACGAAGGTGGCAAAGAAGCACACGGCCCACCTGATGGTAAGCGGTTACCGTGGCCTATGTACGCTTGCAACACTTGGGGCATTACATGCGTCTTGCCGACCCTTAAGAAACCTATTCACCCCCTCTTGAAGAACCCCATGTTGTAGCCCACTGGGAAAACCATACTTAATAGTACTTCTTTTTAAATTCTCCCCTGTCAGACATCATCAAACTTCGTTTTGTTTTATATCAATCATCATCAGTTTATCTTAAATGCTTTTGAAAATGTTGTTCACAAAAACCCTAATTTTTAGGTGTCAAAAGTCCCTGAATGATTACTTGGACTCCAAACGACGTATATTCCCGCGATTCTTCTTCATATCGACGGACGAGCTGCTGTCTATACTTGGCAGCAGCGAGTGTAGCTGTGTGCAGGAACATATGATCAAAGTAAGTCGCTTGCAAGCCAAGCCCACAAGGTATGTAGATAGATGACCTGGTTGAAGAAGCTGAATATTCCCCTCAAATACATGGAGCCGGATGCTGGTCGCTTTATTCAGCGGCATGTGAAGCAGTGAACGTCTTGTGATTGTGACTAACATGATTATGATGATAAAGAAGTTGGTTGTAATCTTGACGCAGTGGCTAGCAGATTATATCCTAAGCAACATATACAATAAACAACACAGAAGTGAACGGTCGTGTTGAAAACTTTCAAGGCCGATGTTTTAATCATCAGTTAATTCTTTTGACAGTTTTTGTATGAAAGAATTGTCAAATACCGAAAATTATTCCTCAGTTAAAATTTATCTGAGCATTGAAAAATTGGCCCTAAGTCTACTAGCACACAGTCTATTTAAACAAAGAGAGCAAAGTCTTCGCATTCCAAACCCTTCTGATAGCAAAGTCATACGCAGTATCCTTCATTCCTGCTCGTAATAATCCATTGTGAGATCCACAATTTGTTGTTTCGGAAGAATAAACTTAAAACTGATGATTACCTATCTAATGGTCATACTCAAACGTCACTCAATTTTAAGACGGTCTCAAGTATAGTTCTGTCACTACAAATCTAGAGGTATATATATATATATAAATGAAACCCGTTTCCCGTCGTCATGCCATAACTTGAGAATGGCGAGACCGATTTGGGTGACTTTTATTTGCTGTTAGTTATTGTCAGGAGAAGGTTCTTATGATAGGAAAAAAATCTTGAAAATCTTATTGGAACGGGAGAAAACGGGATTGCGCGTACGAAGTCGCGGGCAGAAGCTAGTTCTTTATAAATGACAATAATAGAACGATATTTAAGTACAATTTAAAATTGAGTAGCCTTTCAGTATTTGGTAATGAATGAGTGAAAACTTTCAGATGTTCGACAATATTCGTTCATTGGAGCTGTACGTTGACCACACTAACCGGCCTGTGGCTGCCAAAATGATATCCGCTGAAGCAGAGGTAAGACAAATAACGTAACATCACGCCTTTTATCCGCGAAGAGGTAGGCAGAGGAACACATTACGGCACTTAATACCACTGAACAATGTAACACCCACTTTTCACTATTTGTGTTACTAGTCCCATGTAATACGGGGTGTGCCTATCGCTATATACCGGGCACAATTCGAGACTTCGAGAGCAGAAGTAACAATAACTGTAGTTTTCCTTTGTGTGTGTGAGAACCTAACGGGTTGCCGGGGCTCCGGCTCGACGTGCAGGAGAAGGAACGGGGTGGTTTTTACTCAGTAAGAGTCTGACACTCCTTCCCGCCTCACCCAGGCGGGAGAAGTCATTCGAAAATTTTCCCTCCTTAAAGAAAATGTTTAATGTTTAATTATTGAATAACTAAGTTAAAAAAAAATTTAATCAATTACAAATAGAATTACTTCTACTTATTCTCTTTTTGGAGCTTATGTATCTATGATCTTAAATGTATGTTTAGTTAAAAAGAAAAATCATTCTCTTGGCAAAGAAGGACAGCATACTCTTGCTAAAAATGTTGTTCTCATAATTGTTTCTATGTACATTGATTGTATGTATGTATTGATGAAATAACCATTTTTAATTCAATTTATTTCGTCTTATAGATAATGGATTTCCGTAATGTGGTATACACAGAAGGCCGCGTGGAAGACTGGATGAACCTCGTGCTAAGAGAGATGATGAACACTAACAGGTTCATCACCAAGAAGGCTATCTTCTACTATGGCAGGAACTGGAAGGTGCCGAGGTGAGAAGATTTTATTTTTATACATTTCTCCATACAAACAAAATATACATAGCAAGCACACCTATACGATATCAGTAAGGAATACAGTAAGAAATAATCCTTACTATATATATTTATATATTTATTTTAATATTATAAATCGGAAAGTGAGTTTGTTTGTTTGTTTGTTTGTTTGTTCCGCTTTCACACCATAACTACTAAACCGATTGCTTTGAATTTTTGAAGATGTATAGTTAGCAGTCCGGATTAAATAATAGGGTACTTTTTATCCCCGAAACATTTGATATTCCCGAGGGAAAACAAAAGTATTATTATAGATGGGGCTGTGTATTGGTATATGTCACATTGGCTTTTTATCCTTTTGTGACGCGAGCGAAGCCGCGGGTAAAAGGTAGTAGTATATACAGGAGAAAATCCAAGTGTGGGGCCATGTTTTTTTTTTAATTGTGATGGTGTGTTTCTAGACCCATCACATCCTCGCTAATATGTTAAGGTGTCTCAGACTACTGACTAAACACTACTCCGTTCTCACTCCTGCTTCGAGCCGTGGCCGCAGGGGTTATGGCAAACCCATCCCTCCCCTTAAGGGTTCCCCTTCATTTCATTCATACACACACACATACATAATCTCACGCCTGTTTCCCATGGGGTTTGCAGAGATTATGAAACGCCAATTGCTACGATTCTTTCATACCTCTTTCACGTCATCAACAGTCATCATTGTTTTCATGTCTGCTCGTCGGTTTTTTTATTTTTTTTAGAACTTTGCCCCACACTGGGATTTTCTCCTGTGTCGTGGGTGCGTTTACAAACATACAAGTTCACATACACATCACACCCAGACCCGGAACAACAATCTGTGGATCACACAAAGAGTTGTTCCGTGCGAGAATCGAACCCGCGACATGTTACGCGGCAGCCAGTTGCCCAACCACCACACCAACCGTGCAGTCAAATCGGTTTAATCTGATACCTTTAATTTGGTTCTTTAATGTGCACACAGCAATATACATAACTATATTATTAATATATGTCGGTAAATAACCGTCCACTGTGCTGTATTAACTCCTTCTTTCACCGTAGAACGGAATGGATCCTCCAATACCAAGGCATGGTCTGCCTGGCTGCAAACGGAGTGTGGTGGACTGCGGAGACTGAGGAGACATTCACACGTATCCGCAAGGGAAACAAGCGCGCTATGAAGGAACATTTAGCTCAACAGAACGAACAACTTGATGGATTAGTTGTTAAAGTCAGACAGGGTAAGTTTTTACTTTAATAGTGCGTTTTCTTTTGATAAAAAAACAATTAAAAGTATTGATTTGGTCACAAAAGATGCTTAGCTTCTGGTATCGATCCTAGTCTTAGAAAAGGGGCGATCCTTCGAGCAGACTAGGTGATAGTAACCTACTGTCCAGAAGTTAAACATTGGATTTTTTTCCATATTAAGGTCGTGTGTAAACTTTCCTTAAGTTGTCATAGAGTTCTGTTTTGTTGGAGTTAGTTAACCCTTAGACTGCCATGTCAGTCACCGGTGCCTGACGCTAGTGGAGGTTTGACTTTCATCGTTTTAAAGTTGGCAGTTAAAGTATTAAAGCAACATTTTATTATTAGCTTTATCGTTGAACTAGTCTTTACAATATGTTGTCTTCACAAACAAAGATGTGAGTTAACCCGTTATCTTCCAGACCTGTCATCAAACGACCGGCTCAAATTCCGTACGATCACGACAATAGACGTGCACGCGCGTGACATCATCGAAGGATTTGTGCGAGACAACGTGACGGACGCCAGTGAGTTCGAGTGGGAGAGCCAGCTCAGGTTCTACTGGCTGAAGAGGAATGATGGTCTTTGGATTAGGCAGTGCACAGGTAGGTCCAGTTATAATTCGATTGTGGATGATACCTATTTGTTGATGAAGAGAAGAAATTGTATATCTTATACTTTCTTTATTATATAAAGCTGAAGAGATTGTTTGTTTAAACGTGCTAATCTCCGGAACTAATGGTCTGATTTGAATAATAATTTTTATGTTAGATAGGTACTGCATTCATCAAATAAGGCTATAAGCTACTACTATAACATCTTCCTAATAGGACCCAAGCAGCGGGTGAAACCGCGCGGAAGTAGCAAGTGTTAACATAATGTTATAATTGAAATGTTATCTTTGATGATGCTTATTGACTGTCTCATTGGTGGAATGTTAAGAACGATTTACGAATTTTCAGTTTTGATTATTGACTACGTTCTGGTCGTAGTCAATTTCTTCACAAAGTAATAATAATTATCAAAAAATAATTGAAAGTAATATAATTTTATCGACAGGGGTCTTCGAGTACGGTTACGAGTACATGGGTCTGAATGGTCGTCTGGTGATCACCCCACTGACCGATCGAATTTACCTCACCATCACACAGGCTCTTACTATGCAACTAGGAGGAGCACCTGCAGGTAAACTAATACTCGTTCACTGCAGGACATAGGCCTCTCCACTTTGAACCACCTCACCAAAAAGAATGAAAGAGAAATAAAAAGCATTAATTTGACATTTATTTGTCTAAGTAATATTTATTCTAGCACCATCAAGATGGTTCTAGAATAAATATCTAAGTAAACTATGGGCCTCCTCTACATGAGAACGCTTGCTACAAGGTTTTACTCAAATGTTTAGGCTTGGCATGCTGTTTAAACCGCAGTATAGAAGGTTCAGATTTATCTGTAGCACATGTATTCTGGTATCACCACATGGAATCCACCTTACTAAGCAGAATTTTTTTACACAAAATTGTCCTCTCACCTAGGTCCCGCGGGTACGGGCAAGACAGAAACAACGAAGGACCTAGCGAAAGCCCTGGGTCTACTATGTGTAGTGACCAACTGTGGGGAAGGAATGGACTTCCGCGCAGTAGGACAGATCCTCGCTGGCCTGTGCCAGTGCGGGGCGTGGGGATGCTTCGATGAATTCAATAGGATAGATATTTCTGTGCTTAGTGTCATATCCTCACAGTTGCAATGTATTAGAAGCGCGCTGTTAATGAAGCTGAAGAGGTTTACTGTGAGTTTTTTTTTTACTTTTCAATGTCTGGGTTATTAATACCATTTGCAGTCACTTTAGTAGTAAAGCATTATTTGCAAATTGTAAACCAGTTGTATAATGTTTCCAACGCAAATTGTTCTGCTTAGATTACTTTATTGATCAATAATTTATAAAGAAATTGGAGTTCAAAATCTGAATACGGCATTCATGTCAATTCTTCCTCGTCTCAAATCTTATGGTGCGTCCACACCTGACCAATGCTCTTGTAAGCATCACAAGAACGTACACCACGCTTATATGGACGTACCTTCAGATTTGGACGCCATGACACACAACTTAAAATTGATTATTTTATTTCCTTCTCCAGTTTGAAGGTCAAGAAATAGCAATGGACAGTAAAGTAGGTATCTTCATCACCATGAACCCTGGGTACGCTGGTCGCACGGAGTTGCCGGAGTCTGTGAAAGCATTGTTCAGGCCTGTCGTCTGCATCCTGCCTGACCTGGAGCTCATCTGTCAGATCTCACTGTTCTCTGATGGATTTCTTACTGCTAAGGTGAGGTTTAATTGTATAGTTTTTTAAATGTCGTCCTATATAAGTTTCGTTTTCGTTCATCAAAAGACAGTGTCTTTTATAAGTATCTTGACTTCAAACCCATCGCAGAGAAAAAGACACCTTACCTTAAAATACTTTTTTTTTATGTTTGATGGGGCGACGTTGGACCACTATCTCGCCTGGTGGTAAGCGATGATGCGGTCTACGATGGAGCACGTCTTCCCATAAGCAACCTATTCACACGAGCCTTGAAGATACTAAGGAATCTGTATACCCTTTAGGAAATACCGACTCTGGCAAAGAATTCCGCTCCTTAGCAGTACGCACAAGGAAGCTTGATGCGAAGCGCTATGGACCATTTTTAACAACGCTTATTAAATCCTTTCAAATACCTATCACTTACTTACTAACTTACTTTTCCAAATAAGTAAGTACTATGTCGAAAATGTCGTTAAGTCTCTAAGTCTCACCTATCTAAGCGATTCTTTTAAATTTAGGCGAAGTTGATGAAAACGGACCTTAAAGTCTATATTCCCCAACAGGTGCTAGCAAAGAAGATGACAGTACTATACCACGTGGCCCAGCAACAACTGTCCAAGCAGTCGCACTACGACTGGGGACTGCGTGCTCTCACTGCAGTGCTACGTATGGCGGGGAAACTACGCAGGGACTCGCCAGGACTTAGTGAGATTATGGTGCTTATGAGGGCACTCAGGTAAAGATACAAGTATATGAATAATGTTTTTTTATGTTAAACGGACTTATAATGAACTGTTATATGCCGGAATACTGAAACGTTACTCAATTTTAAGTCGTGCTTAAATATCGTGCCATCTCTGTCATTTTACAAAGAATTTGTGGAGACAGAACTATACTTAAACGCGACTTAAAATTGAGTAGCGTTTGAGTATTCCGAGAATAGTATATGAACTATCTCAGTAGTTCGGAATAAAAAGGTCCAACTTGCAAATAATTAGGTTTTATAAAAAAAGTTCGAAATCAATATAATTAACGTAATTAACTGGTTACATGGAACATGTCTCATGAGAGAGTCACAGGATGAGGAAACGACTGGTTAGATCGGATTACGAATTAGTACCGTCTGTTGTATCACGGGATGACAGGCAATACCTTGGGTGGTCACACTCACATTCTTAAAGTGCATACAATGTATAAGAGAATGCTATTCTACATATAAAGCCTTTTCTTTTGGTTTCCATAATGGAGGTACCAATGTAGTTGTAAACGTTATAGTAAGTCTGAAGATAGTAGTTGTGAAAAAAAGGAGATTATTATGATATTGTAATACATCAGTCTTCACCGAGCTATTTCATGTAAAAAACCTATTAGGTAGGTAATTTAGTTCATTAAAAATTATAAAAAAATTGGTTGCCTAGTGAAATCTTGACCAGGCCAGTATGGGCCTTTTTTTAAGGTGGGATTATCTTCCAATGACTTCTCCCGCCTTGGGTCTCTCGCCTCTTACTGACTAAAAACCACCCCATTCCTACTCCTACTCTTCGAGCCGGAGCCCCGGCAACCCGTTAGGCCTTCCCGGGACCCTTATCGAGTATCAGCCCTACTGGGCCCCATCAGTGGTTAACGTTTAAGATCGGTCCTGTAAATATATTTTGTTACTTTTTAGTCGAGTAAATTATGTTTTTTGTTCATTTCGTATTTACTTGCTCTATACTCTGTTACGCACACTATCCTTTTCTTTCAGGGACATGAACAATCCAAAGTTCGTGTTTGAGGACGTGCCATTGTTCCTGGGTCTGATCAAGGATCTGTTCCCTGGACTAGAGTGTCCACGCGTGGGTTACCCAGACTTCAACGCTGCGGTCAATGAAGTACTGGAGAAGGATGGCTATATCGTGCTACCTCATCAGGTTAATCACAATAAAAAAGCTTGTGAATACTCTCAGTTCCACTTCTTAGGTGATATGGATATTCAGGTCTATGATCCATAAATACGGACTCCAAAGACGAAGATGTCGAGTACTTTTCTTAAGGGACAAGTCCCCAGTAATTATGCTGTTGGTCTTGCATAATAACTATTGGCTACCCAATAACTTACTGTACTTATAATACACTAGTTTCTTCCGCTGCTGGGCTCCAATTGGTCATAGCGTGATGTTTTATAGCCTATAACCTTCCCCGATGAATGCACTATCCAACACAATAAGAAATACTCAAATCTGACCAGTAATTCCGGAGATTAGCACGTTCAAACAAACTATATAATAGCTGAAAGGTACATATTTTACTGACCTATTCTCTCAGGTTGACAAAGTGGTACAATTATACGAGACGATGATGACTCGCCACTGTACGATGCTGGTTGGTCCCACCGGCGGTGGGAAGACCGTCATATTACATACTATTGTCAAGGCACAGACTCTACTGGGACTGCCTACTAAACTTACTGTGCTCAATCCTAAGGTAAGACATAATGATAAACACAATTAAAATATTTTGCTTAAAACCCCCTTGGCTTACTATAAATTTATTTGGTATACGGCTATGAAAATATGGACTAGCTTCTGTCAGCGGCTTCGCCCGCGTTCTCGTGGGATGATAAGTTGCCTATGAGTTTGTAGTGTGTAGTGTATATCCTATAGCATTCCATTTGCATATATCAATGTATCTTACTCGTGTATTTAAATATCAACCTTTATTAATAAAGAGCCAGTATTCAATCAGCAGTCAGAGTGTTTTACTCAATACCAATCCTTACA